TCCAACACACTTTTTTTCCATATTTACTTACAACAGACTCCGGGAACCGGAGGAGGAGGACACTTTTCTGCGGACATGGCCAGTTGCTCGAGGGATGCTATTCTTTCCTTATCCGGTAAGTTTAATTGTTAGTTTTACATGTTTTATTTCGTTGTTTTTGATGTTTCCCCTCCAAATTTCTCTGTTTGTTCTCGTTTTCAAACTGTCCGGAATAGAAGAATTGCATGCCTACTACGTATAGGCCGATTACGAAGCGCTCAGTGTGCGTGTGCGTGTGCATGCATTCTGTAGGCTACTGCATTTCTACGGTCAGCGAAGCTATATTCAACATGAACAGACGCAACTCTAGGTCGCGAAAAGAAGAACAATTACGTAGATGGTGGCTCACCTTAATTGGGCTGGCATTACCCCTACCATGCAAGCAATCATCATCACCCTGTTACTCTGCAGATAACGCTTGTTTACACAGGGCTTAGATACATATTCCTTGTGTATCTCACTCCCAAGATTTCCCGTGGAACATATTTAAATTCACGTAAGAGCAAATGGCCTGAATGTTAAGTGAGTAAGTTCCCCTTGACACCTCTGTATTGATTGTCGCGCGTCCTTCGATTGACTACACTATGTTTGTGTTCATTCTCGTACTGGAATTTATTTCTTGGTTTCCACCATTTTTTTTCGCGGCGTTTGTATCCTAGCATAATCACTCAACTCTTATGGTTCTACTCAAACTTGATTTTCTGACCGGAGCAAGAAACATTCTGATTGACAGACTTTTATTGAGTGAAATGTAAGCATAATTGCTTGGAAGTCATTACAGTGCAATTCAATCGAATGTGTACATCACACGGCCACCATAAGTCGTTTAAGGAGGAATCACTGGTAACCGATCAGAAAACATCAATCTCCCCCTCTCGAGATTTGTAACGAACGTGAAAGAACATGAAGTAATACATTGATTCCGCTTTGTCACAATTACTGTCTGTTCCAACGATTCTTTCCAATCAACCAAATCCATTTGTATTTCGATCAATTAGGTTCTGGCCTAGACGATGTGGACGGTTCTACACAAGTCCCGGGCATTCTCCATGCACATTCCTCAACTCCATTCGCGCATTCCGCCTCGTCCGCCGCGGGAACCGCAACAGCTGGAGCCACAGTAGTCACCACCTCTTCGAATGCAACAAACAACTCGGGCAGTTTGACTGGTCGTACAGCCCGGAGCAGTCGTGTGGCCGGGCACAAACGGAGGGCTTCTTCTACTCTTCCATCCGCAACTCCTGTCCCGGATCATCATCATCACCGCCACCAGCAGGACATTATCAGCGGAGCCAGTGCATTAAGTTCCTTGGTTACCGGTGCCAGCGGCCTCGGATCCGACTGCTCTTCATCATTGTTCGGGGAGTACGAGACAACCGGTCGCGGTTTCGGTCATGGTCAAACACCAAGCTTGTGTGGCACTGATTCAGAAGAGACAATCGATCCAGATGAGACCCCGGAGCAAAAGGCAGAACGTGAACGCAGTAGACGACAAGCGAACAATGCTCGCGAACGGTAAGTGATATTGTTCCCGAGCTGAGATTAAACAATTATTGGAAATAAGTTCCGCTTCGATGTCCCTGGGATCCTACGACGTACTCGATTTATGTGATCTCTCTCTCTCTCTCGGATTTCTATTCAACTAATAACATAACCATTGAACCGAAGAACAAGGTTGCGGTCACGTGTTCAAATCACCATCTCTGTTTCTATTTATAAACTCCAAGAGCTAAACCCTAATATCAAAAACTCTTTGGTTTGAAGTAACTCCATTGTCACCAGGATCGTTGCGGTAGTTTTCCTAACGAAACCTGAAACAAACAAAGTTCCAGCCTTGTACAAGTAAAGGTGACGCTCGCAAAAGCGGTCGAGCCTGAATCATAGCTTTCACTCTGTCACTGCTGTGGGTTATTGGACTAACTACTCAGTTACCAAGTCCTAGTAGTAGGTTCACTCACGGGGATTCACTCTTTGGGTGGATATTTTGACCCACAAGTCGACGGGGGCGATGTATGGGGTTCGTAATCCGTCGAGGGTTAGTGTCCTTTAGTGTGAGGTTTTCATGTCCAGGATGCTCGCTGCTCCCTATCATGTTAAACCAAACCCTTTTATTCTGTAGTTTTCTGGGTAATCTAGCAATCCCGTCGTCGATGTTTTTTAATCAGAGTTCCCTGAACCCCGGGTGACTCATTGGTGAAGTCTTCTCTTTTCATTGAAAGACCTCACTACGCGAATGAAGTGATTTGAACTTTATCGGTTGAGGTCGTGCGTGGAGATCACTGGGAGCTGTTTCGATGGGATCCCGGGGCGGTTAAATTCGCAGCACACCTACTTGGAACCATACTAGGTTGCTCGAAAACTTCCCCTTTTTTGACGAATTCAGCGGAAAGGTTGTGTGGTGAGGTTATCAAACACAACACCCTTGATCTGTTCATCCCTAATGCTTTGAAAAGTACTATTGATAGCTTACTTCACTTTTTTTCATCCAGTCCCATTGTTCTCGCATATCTTCACTATCTGAATGAGGCCTTATATGATTTGGTTTAAGGAATTTCAGCGATTCTCAGTGCTGGTAGAACGACGCAGCTGTCTCCTGACAACTTTTCACACTCAAAATGGTATTTACACCTTAGTTTACCAATCAGTCGCTCCTTCTAGAATGAAACATTGTGACGTTTCCGATCGTTTAGTTTAGCTGATGTGTCTGAAACGCGTACTCCCCTCGAGCATCCAACCACTACCTTCTTGTTGTCGATCGTTCGTTCACCCAATGTTGGTGACTTCATCCGTCCGTTTTTTTTCATCTTCCAATTTTGAGTAGTGAGTTTTCGCGGATCACAACCGCCCCGTTCAGGGAGATTTCACATTCATAATCAGAAATGATTGACGCACTTGGCTGACATTTCGATCTTGGGACGCCAGACCGAACATCTCGACAATCTGAGCAAACTAGTTAATCTTCACAAACGCAGCCCCAATAGGGCTGGCGACCGACTTCATAGCCTTGATCGTGTTCCCCACTTCAGTCACTTTCCAGGCAGACCTGTTCTCGTCCGCATGGCTCATCCGAACATTGTTCTGTTTCTAGGTTGATTGATTGCTATCTCGTCTATCCACCAAATTCAATACACATTTTCGTACTATTATTAGGCTAACTGGAATGGTTTTCGCGACTCGCTGACTTCTTATCTTTATGATAGATTCTGCCTCACTTTAACCGTTTCCAGATCTGTTTCCGGTCTCATTGATATTGTTCTTCAAACTTGAAACTTAGAATTAGCAAATCGGCCCTTACCTGAATGTTCCTCACAGTCCCGTCTATGACTACGGGGCTAACATTGTATACTGTAATTCGTTTGATGCATCATCAAAGGGTGCCGGGTAAGTCTTCAAAGCGCACAGGAATTTCTCACCACACTGTGCATCACGCTATTGCTATTAACGAAACCGGCCGTTCTCACTTATGTTCTTTGAACATTTTTAACTGTGATTGCACTTTACTATGGTTATTTGATTTTTTGGAGTTCCTTGTCTACAATTGAATCCATATGAAGAATGTTCACATGAAAAAAACGCTCTAATGCGTGACATTGTAGAACAATCCTCTAGTGGACACTAGTCGTGGTATTACGTATGCTGAACAAAGCATTCCCATTCAGAACAAACTATGCGCACTCAATTCTGTTTCTCCTTTGTCCATTCATTTATTGCGTTACAAGTCGTGTCACCCTCGGCGCTGAAACAACAACATAGGGGTGTATCATATATATATATATATATATATATATATATATATATATATATATA